TGCATTAATAACATCATCTAGTGAAATACTCATCATCTAGTGAAATATTAGTTTTCTCATACAATAAAGAATCAACAAAAGTCTTATAAGAAGATGGTAGTGAACACAATATAATTAATATTTGATCCTTATTATCAATCTTGATATCTATGTTATTTAGTTTTATAATTATGGAATTAAACTTATCAAGATGTTGTCTAATGTGCGTACCTTCACTCATTGTTAGATTATACAGTCTTTTCTTCAAATAAAAGCAATTCGTTAGTATTTTATAGAGTATAACTCTTTTAGTTTCTTCCACGTAGCTGAAATCGAGTTTTCTCCAGCAAGTTCTCGCATAACATTATCAGTCACACTTATAAAAATTGCACATAAGGCTCTATCCTGCAGATCTGACTTATTCGACTCTCTCATACCCTTAGTAAATCTTTCTTCAATTGTCCCTTATAAACCTTATAAAACTAAGGACGATCTCATTCTAATTTTTCACATATTGAACCTCCTTTCACCATCAAAATTTGTTATCTTATACTTTATAGATATCATCTCGAATCCCTAAATTGTGCACCAAAAACAAACAGAGTAATATTACTGTCAGAAAACAAACAAAAAAACTACTCATAAAGAAGCATCATCATTTAGAAACCATCGCATGCAACCACTGGAGCACCTTACGCATCGCTGTTATTCGCCACACGCTAATGTATACATTATCACCGGTTTTCACACGCCGCCGTCAGCCACCATGCGTCGCCTTGACTTGGCCAAAAATCAATACAGAAATGCATGCCTGTTCAAATATGGCACGAATCTAGTGAAACTACAGCAGAAAATGCATGAAAAAAGTCGTGGATTTGGCTTCGTGAGATCTGGCTGCCGCTGCTGGTTCATCTTCTTCGACTATTTACACATTTTTTCTTTAGTTTTCTGGTCTTGCACCTATACATATCTAGTCGGACAATCGGTTCACGCAATAATCAGTCGAAAGTCGTCAACATCACGTACTAACAGGCCTACTTCCATCGTGGGACTCACCTTCCCCATGTCTGGTCTCGATTCGCCTGAAAGCCGGATAGATCAGGCTACCGCTCCTTCATCTTCTTGTTCCAGATCGCACCGACCGTCTTCTGGTTCTATATTTGTCAATAGCATCGTTGCAGGCAATTTAAATGCCATCGCAATCGATTTAAACCATCATCGCCGCAATTAGGTAGATATGGTCAACTTGGGTATAGCCAACATAGATGCGGTCTTCTTTGCTTTCAGATATGTTGTTTGTTCTGATTCTCTCTCAAACTTGAGCTCTGATACCACTTGGTGGGAAAATTAATACTTAAACTGCACATAATCACAACAAAATAAAGCAGATAGAAAAGAACACACAAGATTTAACGTGATTCAACAGTATGTCTACATTTACAGAGAATACTGACAAAAAAAATTTTCATTATGGTAATTTGAGAGTACATCACCAATAAGTTATCAAGCCTATGCATAGAGAGACTATTAGAGTTTTTCTTCGATAAAAACTCTTTAAGATATACATCAAATATTTTTCATGATAAAAAAAAATATTTTCAAGATATAAATAAAAATATCCATTTTGATAAATATAAAAATATTTCTAAAATTCAAGCCATATCAACAAAGAGAAAGGAGGATAATGGATATGGGGAAGGAGAGGAGAATAGCAGCAGCCAAATGATGACAACCCAATAAATTTGTACACTTAAATGATTTATTATCAAAACTTAAAAAAAAGATTCAAATTATTATGAATGCCTGAATTGATATTAATTAAAATATAATTTTCACAACTCAAATTAGTGATATCATCATCAAGATTACATATCATAATTTATAGTTATTTCAAAAATGTATAATTATTCAACCTCCATATTGCTCAAATCATACATACCTTATTGGTAGTTGTTGTGTTCTAGAGAAATTATTGAACTAGTGGTTATTTAATCTACAAAAACTAAGTCTCTCCT